CGTCGTCGTCCTCCTCCTCCTCCTCATTCCTCCCTTTTCCTCCACTCTAGTGATTATCCTTCTTCCCATTGTGTCCTCATCCTCCTCCTCCTTCTTCCCATTGTGTCCTCCTCCTCCCATTGTGTCCTCCTCCTTCTTCCCATACTCTGGAGGTCGTAGTCCTCCCACTTGGAGGAACCCAACTTCCAACATGGAGGCCGGACACCTCCTCCTCCTCCTCCTCCTCCTCCTCCTCCTCCTCCTCCTCCTCCTCCTCCTCCTCCCTTCCTCCTTACCCATTCCCCGCCGTCCTCCTCTTCGTCCTCGTTCTCGTTCTCCTCTCTCCTCCGACGACGGCGACGCATGCGCGGGGGGCGCGCTCCTTCCGGATGGGCTCACTGTTGCTGATCGCCAGCCCCTTCATCTGCGGGTCGAGGTTGTTGGTAAACTCCTGGCGCCGCGCATGAGCGAGCGAGCGAGCGCCGGGGGGTCGCGCGCCCTCCACTAGGGGAGCCCGCCGCTCCTCCTACTCCTCCTCCTCCTCCTCCTCCTCTTCTTCTTCTTCGTCTTCTTCTTCTTCTTCCTCCTCCTCCTCCTCCTGCTCCTCCTCCTCCTCCTCCTCCTCCTCCGCCTTCTCCTCCTCCGTCTCCCTCTCCCTCCCTCCCGGTGCCCATGTGCGGAACGTGTGCGGGGGAGCGGAGCGGAGGGGGAAGGGAGGAGGGGGACCGTAGATGGACGAAAAGTGGAACCCTTGACACCGCGCCCCCCCCCGATTTCAAAGTTGACGTCTCAAGCATTCGGCAGCACAGGCGTGAGAGGAACAAAACAAGAGGAAACCCCAGGGCCTCCGGGAGGCCGAGCCAACTTTGAAATGGAGGGGAGGGGGGGGGGGCGAACGCGGGGTCGAAGACGAATGGGGTTCGAGGGCGGGCCTTCATCTCACCGAGGAAAATCAACATGCGGAATCGGAGCGTGCAGGTCCTCCCTCTCTGTGCCGCTGCATGTTCCTACACTTCCCTCTTGGGGATACTTTTTTCCGTCGCGGCCACAGGCGAAGGCGCCCGCAGCGGGTCGAGCTGGCTCGGGCTACGAACGAACCTAATTGCCGGCGCGCCCGCAGAGGAAAGCAGGACGTACCGCCGGGGGAAGCAGCTGCGCCGGGGCCGCGCTGCAGCTGCGCCGGGCGCCGTGCTGCAACCGCGAACAGTCAAGAATCTGGATCTCACCCTCTCTGGGCCGTCGTCTTTCCTCGGCAATGCTGAGCCAGTACAGGCTGCAGCCCCAGTGTATAGGACCAAGGCTACATGTTGCTCAAAAGAGCCTGTAGGAAAGAAACATGCGCGGTCCCACCCCTGCAAAGTGTACCCACTCCTGGAGGACGCCAGCCATGCACCAGCACTGACTGCTCGACACATGCTGCCAATTCTGCTTCCTTTCAGAATGCTACCCATGCTGCACGCTGCATGCTACACGTTGACCCAGTTCCTCGCCACTTCGAACAGGAGATCGACTACAGAATTGATTAACCCCTAAATTGATTTGTCCGCCGAATCTACGTAGAAAGCTCCGGATCTACGGAGGACTTTATGTATTGTTCGTCGATTCGGCTGAGGATTCATCCACTGCGACAGCACGGCGCACCAACACCGCGACACTCGTGTCCGCCCGCCCGCACGCGGAACGGCAAGAAGGCACCTCTCCGCCGCGGACTCTGCACGGCCGTGCTGCCGCGCCACCTCGTCCTGCGTGAAGACAAGACGCCAAGAGCGAAGTTCAGCCGAGGCTGACTCGCGTAGACTCCCACACCGCCATCCCGCAATAGAAGATGATATAGATGCGAATGAATGCGGACAATTCGTGGGACGGATGAAAAACAAAACCGAGATGGATTTGGAGGTCAGGCTGGAAACGGACATGGAGGCGTGGCGGAGGAGGTATAGAGCTGGACGCAGAGCGGAAGGACGAGACCGAGGACGACGCATGTGTGTACATGTGTGCATGCGCTGCGCGTGTATGTTTGGCATGAGGGGCAACGGCACTGATGGAGACAAGTCCTGGTCCCCAGGGCGTTCTACGGGACCAGCTCTTCATCCCGAGCTGTGCTCCGACGGCCCAATGGGACCAGGAAAGGCCACAGAAGCCCGAAGACGGCTCAAAAACATTCGGAACCCCCTTTCCTATATGCTGACATGGCGGGTCTGGGAAACCCTGCTCCCAAGAATGTCGCGATCACCCAGGGGCCCATCTTTGGCTTACGGCGGCCTTTCGCTGGCCTTCCGCTGGCGGGGCCGCCCCCGTTTCACATTCGCCAGCATCCGCCGCCCTTTCGCCGAGGAAAGGATGCCAACTTCTGCGGTCCCCGAATGCGAGGCCCTGCCTGTAACACCTCACATTGGAGCATGGACGGACCGTCCCGGCACTGCTATAGGCAAGCCACGACATGTTCTTAGAAGCAGGGAACGGTCTGACAACAAAAAACAATGCTCTCACAACGTGGAATCGACTAATTAATCCAAGCAAGACTTTCTCAGACAGACACGCTCTGAGACCGTTCCGTGCAAGCCACTGGAGGCTCTTAGAACATTCTCTGGCAGGCCTGCAGGCCTCAGAGGTGAGTCAGGACGGGTCGCCACTGCTTGACGCACGTGCACGTGCACGTGCACGTGCACGTGCACGTGCGTGCGTGTGCCTGTGACAGAAAAAACAACGGCATAAGCATGAACTGTCGGCGCTCCGCGCGGATTTCTTGGATCTGCGCTGGACCCCCCCCCCTGGGGCGCGGAGCGCGCCAGGGGCGGCGCCGCAGGCGCCGCAGCGGGGCCCAGCGCGGATCCAAGAAATCCGCGCGGAGCGCCGAAGGTTCTTAGACCAACGGGACCGTGAAGCGACGCGCGAACTGCAAGCGGAACCTGCTCGACGGGCAGCCAACGACCACGCCGCGCTGCAAAGGGCCTCTCTGCTCTCCCGCCTCGTGGGCGCCGCGCCCCTCGCCGGGGAGCTCACTGCTCCGGCTCGAGCGCACCCGGCACTCGTCGGCAACCCGTGCCGGCTCGTCCCGCTACAGCGTGCCCCGCGCTCGTGGCCCCGGAGCGCCCGAGGGGGACAAAGCGGAACGTTCGTGAGGGGCTGGCAGGCCAGGTACAGGAGCTCACACAGCAATCTCGTCGTGGTCTGCACTCGTCCACGTCGGGCTGCACGTCGCGAGTCAGGCCACGAATACATCGTGTACTCGGCGGCGCGCCGGGGGAGTAAGTGAGAGGGATCAGGCCTTCTCAAGAGGCGGCGGGCTTCTGAGAAGGCTTAAGAGGCCTCTCAGCCGAGAAGGCCCGCCCCCTCTGGCTTCCCCCCCTGGTGGCGCCGCCGGCACACGTACTTTCCGAGGTAGGGGATCAACTACGGAATTGATTTACCCCCAAATCAGTTTTCTCGTCGAGTCTACAAAGAAACTAAGGACTAGGGAGGGATCTCGAAGATCTACGAAGGAGTTACGCACTTTTGAAGAGGGCACAATGGACACACCAAATTTGGGGTAGATCAGGTCTGCAGTCGATCTCCTACTCGAACTTTGACGGCAATCCTCGACAAGGGGGAGCGACGGATGACCTTGTGCTGTGCGCGGGGAGGGGGGGGAGGGAGGAGGACGGGGAAGGGGGGCGGGGAAGGGGGAGGGGGGCCGCGGGCGACGAGCAGGAGAAAGAAGAGGGGAGGGAGGGAGGCAAGCCAAGTGCGCTCGCGCCATATCGGACATCCTATCCCTCGAACCGATCCCTTCGGGCGGGGCTAGGACGAGGATAAATCCGTTCCAGAGAGTTTCGGAACGCTCCGAGAAGGCTGCGGCGCCCGATGCATCGTCAGAGCCGCCAGATCTCAGAGATTCTCGGTTCATCCTCCCCCGAATCTATCCCTCGTCCTGGCGTCATCTTATCCATTTCCATTGCGCTGATCTTTTCTCTATCCGCGGACGCTCATCATGGCGGACCTGGAACTTCCGAAATTATCCGGGCAAAGAACCCAACCACTTCTAAACACTCGGCGACTATAAATTGGACCTTTCAATACAATAAGAACAAACTGAGGGATGAATCGTGCCCCTGGACTATTCGCCGAACAACGTCCGACCGCACTCAACGTTGCCCCTTCACGCAACACTCTCACGACTGAAATCGCAAATAGGGGTGGCACGAAGCGTGTGAGGGGTGCGCTGGCATGGGGCGGGTCACCATGCGGACGCAGCCTCTGGAGCCTTTGGTGGAGCCCCCTATGGGGCCACGAAGCGTGTGAGGGGTGCGCCGAAATGGGGCGCGTCACCATGTGGACGCAGCCTCTGGAGCCTGCGGTGGAGCATCCCATGGAGCCACGAGACGTGTGCGGCCGCGCCGAGCACACAGGAGGGTCGGACAAAAACCACTGTCATGCGCAATCGTGTACAGAGTCAGGGGAGAGAGGAGAGCAATACTTACCATGTGCAACTGAAGAAATATTATGGGGGGAGGAGGAGGAGGAGGGGGAGGAGGAGGAGGAGGAGGAGGAGGAGGAGGAGGAGGAGGAGGAGGAGGAGGAGGAGGAGGAGCAGAGGAAGGAGGAGGAGGCGGAGGAGGAGGAGGAAGGAAACCAAAAGGTACCGATACTGCTACTCCCTGGACCTCATCCGGGCTGCGTTCTGACCAGGATTTCGAAGCAAATGCAGCGGTGGCGACGAGAACCTCCCAGGAGACCTAAAAAGGCGAAAACTGAGGGACGGTAGCGATATTGGCACCCTTTCCTCAGGAGCCGAACTCTTTACACCGACGCTTTTTCCAGCCCCGCACTGAAATTCACACAAGATAGCGGGCCCTGGTGTATGCGGGATCCTGGTCCGTTTTTTGATGTTCCCCAGGGAAAACGAGGAAACAAGTATACACCACACCACCCCGACGCCGTCCCCGACCCTCAAAAAGTCCTGGGATTGGAAGACGGCCCGCCGCTGGCAATGTATATGCTCCAATTTCCGACATCTCCTCCTCCGAGGCACGGACCACTTTTTCTCCCCCGACTTGCCGCCGCACGCCAGCTCGGGGGCGGCCAAAGAGGGGGGGGCGTCCAAGACGGGGGGGCGCAAATCATGGCGGGCGGCATGTGCGCGGCCCGGGGGGGGGGCGGGGACGTGATGAGATAAGAAGAAGCGCCATGAAGTATGGGGATATATCATGGCCCCCGCCATGGTATCCCCCCCCAATCACCCACCCCCCTCTTGGCCGCCCCCGACCAACAGCGCCGCCCTGGCCGGAAGCGCCCGGGCCCGCGGCCCGATGCCGCGGCCCCACGGGCGTGCCGCCCCGGCGCGGAGAGCTCCTGCGCGGCTTTGGGGGGGGCGGCGGGCGCGCGTGGGGAGGCGCGCGCGGGCGCGGCCTGCACGGGCTCCCTCTGTGGCCGGCTCCTGCAGCGACGATGCCCTCGCCCCTTGGAGGAGGAGGAGGAGGAGGAGGAGGAGGAGGAGGAGGGGAAGGAGATGAAGGAGGAGGAGGAGGAGGAGGAGGAGGAGGATGCGGAGAGGTAGGAGGAGGAAGGAGGAGAGAGGAGAGGAGGAAGGAGGAGAGGAGGGGAGGAGGAGAGAGGAGGAGGAGGAGGAGGAGGAGAAGGAGGAAGAGGAGGAGGAGGAGGAGGAGGAGGACGAGGAGGGGGAGGAGGAAGAGGATAGCCTCTTCATATGCAGGACACGGGGCCTCGAGGCTCCCTCCTGGCTGCAAAATGCCCACCTCTTGGAGCAATGCTGAGGGGGTCGCCACGGAAGGCGTCGGTCTGCCAGGGGCTGCTCGGGCGGGCCCCGAAGACAGGAGACGGGAGGAGGGGCGAGTCCGACACGAGAAGAGCCTCCCCGGGGGCAAAGCGCGCACTGCACCGCGAAACCCATGGGGGCTCTCGCTCGACAGGGGGCCGATTCAACATACTTCGGGTCAATTACCCGAGTGCGAGACCCAGACGGGGCGACGCGACTGCGGTGAGGGGGGGGCGAGGAGGGGAAAACGGAGGGGAGAGGACAAACACAGAAGCCGCCAACGAGAGTCGGAGCCCAGGCAGCAAGCGGGACTGGCTGCGTCCCGATTACGACCATCCGTGACTGCCCTCCCCTCCCATCTGCGACACAAACATGAAAATTCGGGTTCCGCGCGGCTCCGGCGCCGCCCCTGGCACGCTCCGCGCGCCAGGGAGGGCCCAGGGCGGACCTCTGAGGTATCTCTGTTTCTGTCGCTGCTTGTTCCCCGAATCTCTGCCGCCGTCCATGCCATACCCTCTCCCTCCCGTCCCATCCCCTTCTCCCTGCCATCCCCCCAACCACGACCGCGGAGGCCGCCAACATGGGCCAGAGTCTCAGAGTCTCAGATTGAAATCGCACCGCATCGCCACTGCATCGGCGATACATCATTCGGGCCGCTCCGGTCGGACCTCATCTAGGCGGCCTGGAATTTGGGAAAGCTTCGTTCTTTATCCCACTGAGTGAAGCAGTCGTATCGATAACCTCTTGACAGCAGGGGTCGAAAGCTGACGGGTTCCCCCGCGGTAGTAATTAGCAGAACCGCCTGAATTGCCGAGGACGCGCTGAACTGGGTCGGCGCTAACCTGGGTCAGCCAAGGGCCTGTTTTCCACAATTCGCGATAGCGGGCGTGATCACGGGGGGCTGGGGGGGAGTTCGCCCCCCCCGATCACACCGTGGCGGGGGGCGCCGCGAGCACCGAAACGCCCCTGGGCGCACCCCATGGCCTGCCAGCACGACAGCGCGCAAGAGAACACCGCGTTGACCACAAGACGGCGAACGCATGAAAGCAAGTGAGCGTGTTTTTGTGTGGAAGGGGGGATGGGGTGGAAGGGGGGTATGGATGGGGGGGGTCTGGGCTCCAGACCTCTGCTTAATGCGACTGTTTGCAACAAGGCTGCGTCAATTATAGGAGCGAGCGTGATCCAGCGCCGCTTTTACTGTGGAAATTGCCCCCCTGTTCCTCCAGAGCCCGGGGGTCCCCCCCCCCCTCCGAAATGAAAAATCCCCCCCCCTCTGCTGGACCACCCCCCCCTCCCCTCCCCCGGCCCCCCCCCCCCCCCCCCTCCCCTACCCCTCCCCCCCCCTCCCCCTCGAAACTGGGGGGTCACTACCGGTTCGAACCCCCCCCTCTCGAAAACCGAGGGGGGTCACTACGGTTCAACCCCTCCCCCCCCCCCCCCACTCACCGCCAGCAAACGACTCCCGGTCCCACCCGTCCGCGCCACATCCCCCACTGTTGTTCCCAGCACCACTGTCCTCACCAACACTGTCCCCGCTGGTTCCGCCACCGTCCCTACTGTCCCCACCAGTGCTCCCACCACTGTCGCACTGTCCCCACTGTCCCCGCCACTGTTCCCACCACGGTTCCACTCTCCCCACTTTCTCCACGGCCCCAACAACTGCCCTACGACCCCCACTGTCCCCACTGTCCCACTAACTCCTCCGCTGTCCCACTGAGCTGTCCCACTGTTCCCACCACTGTTCCCACCACTGTCCCCACCACTGTCCCCACTGTACCTCTGTCCCATTGTCCCACCGCCGTCCTCGCCACCGCCTTCACCTCCGTCCCCACCACCACTGTACCCTCCACTGTCCCACTGTTTCCACCTCCCCCTGTCCCCACACCACTGTCCCCACCACCACCGTCCCCACCACTGTCCACTGTCCCCACTGTTCCCACCATTGTCCTCACCACTGTCCCCACCACTAGTCCCCACCATTGTCCCACTGTCCCCACCACTGTCCCGCTGTCCCCTCGCCACTGTCCCCACCACTGTCCGCATCCCCCCTCGGTTTTCGAGGAGGGAGGGGGGGGGTTCGAACAGGTAGTGACCCCCCCGGATTTCGAGGGGGGGGGGTTCGAACCAGTGGTGACCCCCCCCCCTTTTCATGATGAGCTGGGGGGGGGAGGGGTTCGAACCGGTAGTGACCCCCCCGGTTTTCCGGAGGGGGGGGGAGGGGTTCGAACAGGCAGTGACCCCCCCCCCCGGTTTTCCGCCAGCAGCGGTAGAACACGCTCTTTCATGTATGGGGGAGGCGCCACCTGCTCGAAACAGGCGCCCCAAACAGCCAAGATCTACTCCACGGGGGGGGAAGAGGGTGCGAGGGCCCGCGCCGATCGGCAAAATAAGTCGAGTCAAGTCAAGTCACCCCGCTCGCACGAGGGCGGGCCCATATGGGGCGCGAGGGGAAAACATCATGCCAGTCACTGTTCGGGCGGGCGCGCACGGGAAGCACAGAGACTGCTCACATGCATAGTCCAAGTCTTCTGTCAGGTCCACACACGCGGCGTAATCTCGTGCAGCGTCTTGCCACGAACGCAACGAATGTGCTTTCGAGGTGAGCGGGGGCCGACTCATCAATCGGAGACTCGTCGCCGCTGGCCTCCCGAGGCCTCTAGAAACCTCTGGGGGCCTCCAGGGGCCCCCCCGGTTCCCCGGGATGCCCCAGATCCGCCGATGACGAGATGCGCGAAGGCATGCATTCAAAAATATGCACACTCCTCCTCCTCCTCCTCCTCCTGCTCCTCCTCCTCCTCCTCCTCTTCCTCATCCTCCTCCTCCTTTCTCCTCCTCCTCCTCCTCCTCCTCCTCCTCCTCCTTCATGATCCTCCCTCCTCCTCCTCCTCCTCCTCCTCCTCCTCCTCCTCCTCCGCCTCCGCCTCCTCCTCCTCCTTCATTATCCTCCCTTTTCCTCTTCGCTCCTCCCTCGTCTCTGAAATCCTCGAAGAATCCTTCGGACATCTTTAAACTAGCGTGACTTGATCCGAGGGGGGAAGGAGGGAGAAGGCCAATCCCGGCCGTTGTCGCTCAGACCTTACACAACGACAGGCTCCAAGGCCATGTCCCGACCCCGTGCCGACCAAACAAAAGCTCCCCAACCCGGGCCAGCGGAAGGAAGAGAAGGTGCACGGTTTCCCCCGGGGCCGTAGGCGACCGGAGGAGTGGGAGCAGGAGGAGGAGCAGGAGGAGGAGGAGGAGGAGGAGGAGGAGGAGGAGGAGGAGGAGAGGAGGGGTCGCCTGAGCCCTTCGGGAAAAAGCCCTCCAAGGGAGGGGGGCGGGGCGTCGGCCCCGCACGGCTCCCCAAAGGGGGGTCAGCCCGGGGGGACTGGCCGACCCCCGCCGCCCGCGCCCCGAAACTCCCTGGCTGGCGGCAGGATCGGCCAGCACCGAAGCGGCGAAATCGCATCGGATCGGGCCGCAGCGCCACGGAGGCGGCCTCGGACGGGCCCGGCAGCGCCGGGATGCGCACCAGCGCCGTGTGTGAGCCTCGAGCCGCCTCGCATATCGCTGCAACAATCTGGCCTGGAGGCAGCGGGTCCCGCGGGAAACGGGTCCTGGTCAGGACCACCTCTTCATAACGAGGGGCCCGTGGAGGGCCCAGGGGAGACCAGAAGCGGTGGAGAACACCTCAGGATGCGTGATCCTCAGGACGCGATTCCCTCGTGGCGAAGAATCCGAGTCGAGCTGGGTCGGGCCAGCCGAGCCCGACTGTCGAATCGATCGAAAGGGGCCCCATGGCGGTCGGAGGCCGCGGTCCTTACTTGGCGAGGTAGTTCGTCATGTACTCGTAGCCGTTGCCCTCCTCGCCGTACTCGGTCACGCACACGCAGCTCGCGCCGACCACCTATTTCTGATAAGAAGGGATGTGGTTTGGTCCAAGGTCCTCTGTTACTAATCCTGCCCTGCCCCTGGGGACTCCGATTTAAAAAAAGGTGATGGGTATCTTTCTAACGAGAGGGGGCAGATTACGGATCAGCTTCTGTGGCTCAAATTGAGACTTGGTCCCGAAAAGCAATTTCCTGATGTCTCGGCCCCGTCCTTCCTGCCCTGCAGACAGACTCGGCGGCGGGCGAGGGGGGGAAGTGAGAAGGAGAAGGCCTTTTCGGAGGGCGGCGGGGCTTCTCAGAAGCTCGCCGGCCTTCTGAGGAGTGTTCCTGCGTCTTCGGGGAAAGCCTGGCGAAGACTTCTCGGAAGGCCCAGGGGCTTCCGACCCTTCTGAGAAGGCCTGGCCCTTCACACCTCCCCCCTGGGCTCGCCGCCGACAGACCCAGATTCAATTGCGCACGCTCGTTCCTCGTAAGCTACAGAGCGGGCGCTGTCGCAAGAAACCCTCGCAGGAAACCCAACCCTGAAAACCCGCGCGCAAGGTGCACCTGAGGGGAAACCCGGAGCACCCTGAACGCAGCCGCTCCTTCCCCTGCTGCCGGAAACCACCGCGCGGCGCGCGGAGCGAAGAAACCCAGGATACCCTGACGAAAAGCAGATGGTTTCTTGATGCGCGCCCCCACCGTGTTCGCTCGGCGCTCCCCTGCGGAGTGACCCGCGCTGCGCTGCGCGGCCACGGGCAGCGCTCGCCGGAGGGCGCTGGCCACGCAGGGGCGCCCTGGTGAAGTACGCGTGCTGGCGGCCGTGAAGGCCGAGGCGCCGCGAAACGACTGCCGCTCGGGAGCGTTCGGCAACGCTCGCGGAGCTCGCGGGAACGCTCTGAGCAGGCCGCGGCGCCCGATATCGAGCATCGTTTAACCGATCCCCATGGGTCTCCATCCCCAACGGCGTGGCCTGGGCCCCACTGGCCGATTTCCCCCCCTAGATGGGGATATAGGCCGTCCCCTTCGGGTTTCTATCCCCAACTGGGGGGTAATCCGGTGGGGGTCTCGAAGGGGGTGGGGATGGGGATGGGGGTCGGATAAACGATGCTGAGATATATCCTCCAGGGCTGCCGGATATCAAAGATTCTCGGTTTATCTTCACCCGATCTTACCCTCGTCCTAGCTTCGTCTCGAAGATCCGTTGAAACGGCGTGCGCGCGCGGAAGGAGCACGGAAAACATGGGTACTATGCCCAACTGAACAGATCGCCCTACACAACAGCGGCCGCTGCTGGGCAGGCGACTTCGTGTCCCGAGTGGACAACGTCCGTGGCGGCACCGACAACGAGCCCTGCTCGAGATGGTGCGGAAGTGCCGTGTGCTCCCCGTCCCCCTGTCCTGCTGCACGCCCAGGGCCAACCCCTCGCCAGGTCAGGGTCGCTCGGCCGGTTTTGCCAGACCTGGGACCACGCTCGACGCACATCATCACACGTCTCTCTGGCATGGCCAGGAGGACGAGGCTGAGCATGAGGACAAGGATGGAGGAGGGCGCAGGCGCCGATCCTGGGCCCAAGATGACCATGCCCGTGCGCGGCATCTTCACATCGCGACTCCTGACGCCGAGTGAACCAATGTGGCTCGTTCATCCCCGAGAGATCGCGGCGTGCCGACTGGCGAAGATCGTTCGAGGTCGGCCGATTCTGGGCATCTGGCGGCGTTCAACCTTGACCGCCCGCCACTGGGACCGCCGCCGCGCCGTACGGCGCAAGCGGGTCGGACGTCCTGAAAAATAACGGAGCGACCCCGACGTCCGACCTCGCGATCAGACCTCCGTCGTTGAGGAAAGAAACGCGGCGAGTCGGCTCGTCGGTGACGTGAGCGCCCCCGGGCCCAGACTGCAGCAAGACCACGACTCGTGACTCTCTCGCGATGCCCAGAGGCGGGGGCGGACCGATATTTTGGTTTGCTTCGGCGATCCCTGCGGGCACAGCGTGTCGCGCTGCCTGGCCCCCCGACCGGTCAAACTTCCCCCTCAGAGTCGCCGTGAACCGCGTCCGCAGCCCAGGCCTCGCAGACGGCCCCGGCGGCTGCTTCCCCGTCGGCATCCAGGGCCCTTCCACCCAAGCCACTGGCGGCCGATGGCTGCCGCTGTGACTCGTGCCTGCGGGGCACGCCCAGCCGCGAGACTGGCGCGGCGCGAGGCGGCGCCGTGGGCCGAGGCGGCGGTGCCTCCGTGGCAGCTGCTGGCCACCAAGCGAGCCGAACGCAGCAAAGAGTGCTCAATGCGCCTCTCAGCTCCAAAGGGGGCCGCTCAACGATGACCTGCCATCGAAAACCACCTGGCGGCGCCGCGATAATCACGTAAGGCCAGGCGTGCTGAAGGAATCATGGGGGATCGGAGGCTTCTGAGAAAGGCTTCCTGTGAAGCAGGGGCGCTTCTAAGAGGCCCCCTACCCTCTTTAGGGGAAGAAGCAGTGACGTAAACATAACAACTCGGAGATCCGCGCGGATTCTCGGATCGGCACTCGATCCCCCTCCCCGGCGCACGGAGCGCGCCAGGGGCAGCGCTGGAGGCGCCGCCAGGGGGCCCCAGCGCCGATCCGAGGAAGCCGCGCGGACCTCCGAGCTCTTTTCTTTTTGCACGAAGCACTAATCAGTGAAGAAGCCTCTGCAGCGAATCGACGAAAGATAAATGCCTCGCGGTTTCAAAAAACTGCGGCACCATGTACACCGAGGAGGGATCTTCTACCGCGGTCCGCGCCGAGCGCGCCGATGGAGGAGCGGCAGAGTTTCAACGCCGCTTCGAGGGCGCACGGGAGGACCGGCGAGTTGTCCTGCTCATGTCATTGCCCTGCTCCCTGTTCTCGGAAAAGCCTGCCTCCCCGGAAGGCAGCCCGCTCCCCCGCGCCCTGCCCCCCCGTGCGCGCGCCGCCGCGCGCGCGCAGCGGAGCGACCCCCGTGGCCGCGCGGGCCTTGCGGGGCAGGCCGTCCTTGTCGATCCTGCAGAGGCCGGCCCACTCCTCGGGCGGGGCGGCCGGGGGGGGGGGGACCCGAGTGGGGCGCGGAGCGGAGCACCTGTGCGAGAGGGAGATCCTCCTCAGGTGAGCGCGGCTTGTGCTCAGCGTAAGCTCTCGAGCAGCGCTGCGGCACACCCCGCGCGCACCAGCGGGGCTACGGTACGAGGCCCCTCCAGTCTGCGAGCGGGCCTCCTGGGACGGGGCCCAGAACGAGACTGGCCCGGAGATCAGGGGCCTGGCGCGGCGCCGGGACCCGAGTGGGGGGTGAAGGGAAGAGCCCCACATGGTAAGACGAGGCCAGGGCGAGGGAGGCTAAAAGTCGAGAGCCTCTGAGGTCCAGCGGCTCTGGGGGATGCCGCGGGCGCCGCGGCCTTCCCAGAGCGCTCCAGGACGGATTTCTCCCCGTGTGTCCCTGTAGGGCCCTCAATGGGGGGAACACGTCGACCTGGAATCGGCGATACATCGCCGATAGATCGTCGATAGGCCCCCGATCCAGAATCCGCACGCTCCTGGGCGGGGTGGGGGCTACTGGGCCTCTATCGGCGACCAGTGGGCGACTGAGGGTCGAGCCTCCCCCCTTTGCTCATCACCCCTCCCCTGGACCCCTCCCCAGAGGGCTTCGCCCCACCAGAACTTCATCACTCGCACCTCGCTCTTTCTGTTATCCGAGCCTCGCGCGCCTCGCCCTTCCCCTGGACCCCCGACTAGGAGGCTTCGCGCCACCAGAACGTCGCCACGCGTGCCTCGCTCTGTCCGTTGCCTGGGACGGCTTGGGAACGGCAAGAGCGAGGTACGAGTGATTTCTCCCCCTATCGCTGCCCCTATCGTTGCCCCTGGGCGGGGTGGGGCTATCGGGCCCCTATCGGCGATCAGTGGGCGACTGAGGGTCGATGCCTCCCCCCTCTGCTTATCCCCCTATCGTTGCCCCTGAGCTCCCCCAGGGACTTGTTGCCTATCGGGACCCTGTCGGCGATCAATGCGCGACTGACGGTCGATGCATCCCCCCATTGTTTACAGTGGGGGTCGATGCACGAGAAACGCGCAGCAAGAAACCCAACCCTGAAATCCGCCGAGGTTTCTTGGTCCGGGGTTGGGTTTCTTGCCCTTCAGCTGCAAACGAAGAAACCCAAGATACCCCGAGTGCTCGAAGTTTCTTGGAGGATCGGGCGCGCGCCCCGAAACTGACCGACGCCCAAGAGAAACCTAGGGTGCTCTGGCATTTGCAGCCTCTTCAAGATGGCGGCACCTTTTTCGCGCCGAACGCCAGCCAAAGAAACCCAGGGAACCCTGACGAAACGTAGGGTGTTTCTTGTCATGGTCCCCCACTGTATCTCGGCGGTGGACAAACCTCCCTATAGTAAACCACCCTTTAGTGAAAATGGCCCAGGACCAAAACCGACGGGCCTGGACCCACAAAAATGACGGCCGCGACGCCCTCTGCCGAACCAAAAACATCAATTCACTCATCAACGTGTCAAGGTAGGAAGTCTCCGATCCCCCCACCCTATCCCCCCTACCGCTGCCCCCAGGGCTCCCCCAGGGACTTGTTGTCTGGCACGTCGATGAGGGGCACGTTCTTCTCGAGGCACAGGCCTGGGAGACCGGCCCCCCCGCCGCCGGGCCCCTCGGCCTTCCTCCTCCTCCTCCTCCTCCACCTCCTCCTCCCAGTCCTCCTCTTCCAGTCTCCTCCCTCCTCCTCCTCCTCCTCCTCCTCCTCCTCCTCCTCCTCCTCCTCCTCCTCCTGCTCCTCCTCCGCCTCCTCATCCCCGTTGTAGGGGCATATGAGGAGGGAACTTGGAGGGAGGGTTTACTTCAACATCGTTGATGACTCTTGGGTTTTCAATGGTCCTCCTCCTCCTCCTCCTCCTCCTCCTCCTCCTCCTCTCCCCTCCTCTCCTGCTCCCATCCTCCTCCTCCGCCTCCTCCTCCTCCTGCTCCTCCTCCTCCTCCTCCTCCTCTCCCTCCTCTCCCTCCTGCTCCCATCCTCCTCCTCCTCCTCCTGCTGCTCCTCCTCCTCCTCCTCCTCCTCCTCCTCCTCCGTCCTCCTCCTCCTTCCTCATCTCTCCTCTCATCCTCATCCTCATCCTCATCCTCATCCTCATCCTCAGCATCATCATCATCATCATCATCATCATCATCATCCTCATCATCATCATCATCAGCAGCCAGCAGCATCATCATCATCATCATCTCATCCATCATCATCATCATCATCATCATCATCATCATCAGCATCATCATCATCATCATCATCATGATCATCATGATCATCATGATCATCATGATCATGATCATGATCATGATCATCATAATAATAATAATAATCATCATCATCAGTATCATCATCGTCATCGTCATCGACATCGTCATCATCATCATCATCATCATCATCATCATCATCATCATCATCAGCATCAGCATCATCATCATCATCATCATCATCATCATCATCGTCATAATCATCATCAGCATCAGCATCAGCATATCAGCATCAGCAGTATCATCATCAGCATCATCATCATCATCAGCATCATCATCAGCATCAGCATCATCATCATCATCATCATCATCATCATCATCATCATCATCAGCATCATCATCATCAGCAGCAGCAGCAGCCCTCCTCCCTTTTCCCTCTTCCCTCCTCCTCCTCCTCCTGCTCCACCTCCTCCTCCTCCTCCTCTCTCCTCCCTCCTCCTCCTCCTCCTCCTCCTCCTCCTCCCCCTCCTCCCTCTCCTCCTCCTCCTCCTCCTCCTCCTCCTCCTCCCTCCTCCTCCTCCGCCTCCTCCTCCTCCTCCCTCCTCTCCTCCCCCTCCTCCTCTCCTCCTCCTCCTCCTCCTCCTCCTCCTCCTCCTCCTCCTCCTCCTCCCTATCCTGTCCAAATGCTCAGACTCTTCGCCACTGCCGACTTCCATGATTTGCTTGTGCAGAACAAAACGGAGGCGCCAACCCTCCTCCCTCGCCCTTCGCGGCTCCTTGCACCAGCTTCTTGTACGTCGCCTCGTTGCAAGACTCGGCCAGGAAGACCACCTGAGCTTTGCCCGCGTCGATGTGCTTGGCGACCTGGTGGGGAAGAAAGATCAGCGGGACTCCAGCTTGCTCCCTTGGCGGCCGGAAATCTTGCCCCGAGCTCCTCTCTCCAGTCCTTGGACTCGCCAGGGAGGTAGACCACTCCCCTGTGTCAAAGGTTGCCAGAATTGATGGTGGCCCAGGGTGTCTCCCGACTTTTCGCGCTGGTATATAAAACATAAAAAAGAAAAACGCCAACAATTTCTTAAACTGTTGGCGTTCCGCGCGGAAATCTTGGAACTGCGCTGGACCCCCCTCCTTGGCATGCGGGGCGTGCGAGGGGGCGGCGCTGGAGGCGCCGCCAGGGAAGGCTCAGCGCGGATACAGGAAATCCGCGCAGAGCGCCACGAGCTTATGTTTATTTATGAGGGTGCGCCGCTGGATCTCCCCAAGGGGGGGGGGTTAGGACCCCCCCCCTTCCCCCCCTTCCCCGATCCGTCGTCGGGGACCCACCCACCCCTCCCCCCCTTCCCCGATCCGTCGTCGGGGACCCCCCACCTCCTCCACCCCTTTCCCCGACCCGTCGTCGGGACCCCCCCCCCTCCCTTTCAAAAGGGGGGGGGTCCGCCCCCCCCCCTCCTTTCGCCACGCCGTCCCCTGACTCTGGAACCCGACCCCCGCCACCCCTACCCAACCACTAACCCCAGCCCCAAAAGGTACTCACTACTCATTACCCACTACCCACCACTGACTACTCGCTATTCGGTACTCACTTCTCACTACCCCCTACTCACTACTCACGACTCACTACTCACTATCCACTACTCACTACCCACCACCCACTACTCGCTACTCATTACTCCCTACTCACTACTCCCTCCTCCCTACTCACTACTCACTCCTTGCTACCCACTACTCACTACTCACTAAGCACTACTCACTACTCCCTACTCACTAGTCACTAAATCACTACCCATTACCCACTACCCACTATCCACTACTCATTACTCACTACTAACTACTCATTGCCCACAAATCACTACTCACTACCGACTACTCGCTACTCGCTACTCACTACTCCCTACAAAATACTGACTACACAATACTCAGTACTCACTACTCGCTACTCCCATACTCGCTACTCAATACTCACTACTCACTCCCCGCTACTCACTATTCACTACTCACTACTTACTACTCCCTACTCACTAGTCACCACATAATCTCTAGTCACTAGTCACAACTCACTAGTCACTAGTCTCTAGTCACTACGCACTACCCACTATTCACCAATCGCTACTCACTACCCACTATTCGCTACCCACTTTTTACTACTCACTGCTCACTACTCCCTACCCCCTACTCACTACTCGCTACTCCCTACTCGTTACTCACTAATCACTACCCACGACTCACTACTGACTACTCTCTACTCACTACGCCCTACTCGCTCCTCACTACTCACTACTCGCTACTCCCCACTCGCTACTCACTACTCACTACCCAAGGGGGGGGGGGGGTTCTGGACCCCCCCACCCCCTTTAGTGTATTCAGGGAGATCCACTGGCGCACTTTCTTTATTTATGGCGTGTTTTCTCATCTTCGATCTATAGCCACCGGGACTACTGGAACCCCGTGGACAAAACTGAGGCCACCTCGGGCAGCACACGTGTCGCCAGGCGCCGGGCGTCAGGGCCTCCTCTCTCGCCTGTGCGGCCGCAGGCGCGGATGCGCAGGTCGCGCTGCAGAGCACCGTGCTCTGGGCCCGCTGCGGCTTCCGGCACGGCCACCGAAATACCCAAACTTCCCGCATTGCACAAGGCTGGCAATATCATGCGGACACGCGTCCCACTAAAGGTCCGAATTGTAGGACTGAGCTAAAGGGGCCGTGGATGATTTTCGCCCGTCGCTGACGCGCTGAGGGGCCAAATCCTGATAAGACCTATACGACCACCCTTCGGGTGATAAGGAGGTTCGGGGGGGGCGGAGGAACCAACGTCTCACTCGATCGGTCTCACTATCGATCTCACTATCGATCTCACTATCGGTCTCGCTCGATCGATCTCACTCGATCGATCTCACAATCGATCTCACTCCATATATTTCATTCGATCGATCTCACAATCGATCTGACTATCGATCTCACAATCGATCTCACTATCGATCTCGCGATCGATCTCACAATCGATCACACATTCGGTCTCACTATCAATCTCAATATCGATATCACAATTGATCTCAAAATCAAAGTCATCATCATCATCATCAACATCAACATCATCGTCATCAACGTCATTAACATCATCATCATCATCATCATCATCATCATCATCATCACCGGGACACCACCATCATCATCACCTCATCACCATCATCATCAACATAATCATCATCATCACCATCATCATCGGGACACCATCATCGTCATCATCATCACCATCAACATCACCATCATGGGGACACCATCATCATCGAAACACCACCATCATCATATCATCATGAACAACATCATCAACAACAACATCATCATCATCATCATCATCATCATCATCATCATCATCATCATCATCGGGACACCATCATCATCATCATCATCAACAACAACATCATCATCAACAACAACATCATCATCATCAACATCATCACCGGGACACCATCATCGTCGTCACCTTCATCATCATCACCACCATCCTCATCATCGGGACACCATTCATCATCATCACCATCATCGGGCCACCATCCTCAAAGTCAGCATCATCACCTCATCATAATCCTCATTCTCAACATCATCATCATAATCTCATCACCATCTCATCAGCAGCAGCATCATCATCATCATCATCATCATCATCATCTGGACACCATCATCATCATCATCACCATCATCATCAACAATATCAGCATCAACCTCATTATCATCACCATCGTCATCGTCATCGTCATCATCATCATCATCATCATCATCATCATCATCTCGTCATCATCTCATCATCATCTCATCATGCTCATCATCATCAGGATCACCATCATCATCAACACCATCATCATCACACCATCATCACCACCACCATCATCATCAACAATAACATCATCGACATCATCATCATCATCATCATCATCATCATCATCGTCATCGTCATCATCATCATCATCATCATCATCATCATCATCGAGACACCGACGGGACACCGGCGGGACACCGCGCGCCACCGGACGCCGGAAGGGAATCATTTGGTCCGGCTGCGCCTCAGCCACAGCGGGACACCGGCGGGACACCGCGCGCCACCGGTTGCCGGAAGGGAATCATTTGGTCCGGTCGCGCCTCAGCCACAGGAGACTTTCCTCTCGCCCGCCCACGCAGCTTCGCCTCGCCCGCACGCACGGCACGCACGAACACGAAACCGAAACCGATTTCCCGGTAGGGTGGCTCTCCGTTCCACTTCGATCTCACCCCCTCACCTCCGATTTGTCTGTGCGCGCGGGGATGACGACGGTTGCGCGCAAGTTCCCGTCTGGGGCAGCGCCACAAAGACGCAGCTGGGAAATGCGCGCGCCCCTTCCCGAACTCCCTTCTCGGCGCCGAGCCTGGGGGGGACGTGAGAAGGGGTGGACCCTCTGAGAAGGCTCGGAAGTCCCCCGGCCTTTTAGGAAGTTCTGAGAGTTAGGTCGGGCATGTGCCCCTACAAGCGGATTTTGGACGAAAAATCCGCCGACCCTGGCGGCGTGTGGAAGAAGCTGTTCCGTTTGACTTGTCGTCGTCGTCGTGGTCGTTGTCGTCGTCGTGGTCGTTGTCGTCGTCGTCGTCGTCGCCTTCGCCGCTCCCCTCCCCTTTCCCTAGGCCCGTCGCCGCTCCCCCCACTTTCGCTGGGCCCTCCTCCTCGAGCGCGCCAGCCACAACGAAATTGAACAACGTTGTAGTTGAGTCGAAGGGAAGCCCCTTCCCTTTGATCCCTTCCCCGCCGGGAAGGGGGGGGTCCTGGAGGGGTCTGGGGGGAAGGTCCTGGAAGGGGGGGTGCCCAGGGGGGGTCCCGGGGGGGGTCGCCACCCAGATACGACTCCCCCCGAGGGAGGTCGCCACCCAGATACGACTCCCCCCCGGGCGGTTGGGGGGCCCAGAAAAGCGTCGTCGTCGTCGCCTTTCGGGGTCGGCGGCACTGGCCGTAAGGCCTTCGCAGTAAAACAGATTCAAACAATTCTCCAAAAATGCTCACAAATAGTTAGGAAAAATCGTCCACAGTATATTCGAGGGAGATCCTGCATCACCCCCACGCCCCCGACATCAATGTGGATCTTGGTCGACAGGCGGTGCTGTGGGGCTTCGAATTCTTCGGTCCACTCACGCCCCCTCTGTCGTCACACCATCAATATTACAGCAGGGGCCCGACCACACGAAACCTTCCGCAAGAAACCCAACCCTGAGACCCCAGGACGTTCATCGATTTTTGATGTGGGAACGTCACGCTTTCCATGGCAAAACCATCGACACCCAAGAAACCCAGCGCGCCCTGAAGGCAAGCAAGGTGCTTATTGGCATGGGCCTCCACCGCCACCTCGAGGGCTTCCGGGGGGCACCTTGGGCCACAGAATTCGCATCGAATGCCCATAGTACGGGAGGCCATACGCGTGGAGAAGCTTCGCCACGAGGAGCGCGCCGGCGGCCTCGGGTACCGAACGCACCAGCGCACTGGAGGGTAAGCGGCCAGCCCAGGTTGCCGAAGGAGAGGGCGGCGTAGTTCCCACCAGGGAGGCAAGCCATGATCATCATCATCATCATCACCACCACCACCACCATCATCATCACCACCACCACCATCATCCTCATCCTCCTCATCCTCATCCTCATCCTCATCCTCCTCCTCCTCCTCCTCATCATCATCATCAGTATCATCATCGTCAGCATCGTCATCATCGTCATCGTCATCATCATCAGCGTCAGCGTCAGCGTCATCATCATCATCATCATCATCATCATCATCATCATCATCATCATCATCAGCATCATCATCAGGAATTGACCACACGCGCCCAGACGAGACCTGACAGGAGCGACACAC